AACCTTAATACTCCGTCCGGTATAAGGGTGAAATGAGCCGTCCCCATACTCCGTTCGGTATGAGTACTAAATTACTAAGTCTCGATACCCCGTCTGTTATGAGCCAATGTTCATGGTAGGGTTCTCTATGCACATGATCTGTCCACCATCTCGCAGGATATCCAGTAAGGCTGACGTTTCATCCATTCACTTAATCACACAGTTCTCCATATACCTTTAATCTTTAGTTTTCCAATTCAACCGTAATCACATAAAACAAACGATACATGTATTCAAAACTATAAAATCGATCAATCAGATACTATCATGCATTTAAACTGTAAAATCAATCAATAAAATCAATAGTGAATAATTTTCGATTCTAACTTCATTAGTAACCTGTAATTAATTATGGATATTTTCTAAATTGCATAAAACACCATATTTATTGTTAATTTAACTTCAATTCTATAACAGAGAATATAGTGAGGGATTCTTACCCAAATTGATAACCGAAATGCTAAACTTGTTGACTGCACCAACTGGCGGTCCCGAAGTTCCCTAAATTTTTCTTTGGGAATCACAAAGTGCTACAAGTACCTACAAATATCCCAAAAAACTCAAAATCAATGTCGGAGTCCCTTTTAGCCAATTTCAAAATTTCAGTACAGCAGTAATTTGCCTCGGGTCGGCTGTTTTTGCCTGATTTTGCATCAACCGCTGCGATAAAACACGTTAAAGGGCATCGGTTGGCCGAAAAAAAATAAAAAATCGAAACTCACCGGTGGCGGGTTCTCCGATGCGGCAGCTCCGCTGGCTCACATTTGCAGTTGTGTGTTTTGCTTCGGTCAACCTGTAGAGAATGAAACGGTGATTACAACGATGGAAGAATTATGCAGGACGAAAATCGGGAATGGCCTCATAGGAGGCAGTTTTTGCAATTTCCTGCGGCGGCACTGCGGGGCTTTGCCCGCAGTTTTCGGTCAATCTATCGATTTTTTTTTGCTTCGATTTGGCAATGTGGGTGTTTAAAATTGAATTCCGAACAAACGAAGAAATTTTTACCTCTTTTGGCAGTCAGAAGTGGCTCCGAAGCGGTGGGTGGCAGCGGCTTCCCTTCCAGCGACTGGGTATTCTTCTTCGGCGAAGGTGTCTGACGGTTAGAATTATAGTTTGTTGTAAAGAGGGTTATTTATATCTATTCCCTTTTAATATGGGCCGTCCATCGTATTTAATCTGGACCGTCCGATCGCGATTAAATAAGAAGCATATCTGAACTATTGATCGCGTTTAAATCTGACCGTCCGATCATGTTTGTGAAGGGGACGAATTTGGGTCGTCTGTGTGTGCAGGAGCAGATTTGGGTCGTTCGATCGCAGACACACAGATCGCTAGTGTAGCCTCCCGCGTGACACTGCGTCAGCGTCTGTTGTCACGCGGTGCGTTCTGGTTCGTCAGGGCTGCTGACTGAGCATCTTACGTGGCACAACTTTTTTAAATTACGTTTTGACCTCCCGATTTTTTATTTTTCTTTCAAAAATACCCCTAAAACTCAAATTTTCACCCATTTTTCTTAAAATTATTTTCAATTTCATCATTCAACTATTTTTCTTTATTTTTACATTAATTTAAAATTAAAAAATATAAAAACTTATGTTTATAAATTAGTTTTAAATACATTAAAATTAATTGGGCATTACAAAAATAATATAAAACTATATTTTATATTCTATATTTTACATTTAAATTAATTTATTATGCACGACATATTTATATCTATAAATTGTATTTAAATTTATAAAAAAAAAAGAGTAAAATATATAATTAGTGTTCTTATAAAATAAAATAGAAAATTGGCAATATATTATAAAAATATATGTCTTATATTTTATAAGCTAAATTCATAATAAGAGATTGATAGAATTTGAGTCAAAGAAGTAGACGTGATCCGACGTGGTAGTAGGACAAAGAAGGAGTGGAGGGGTGACATGGGCATTCCACATGGTGTGCTGGCACCACATGGCAGGTTAAGTGGGGTCCACAAGTTTAAAAATTAAAAATTAACTAAAAAAGCCACAAAACAGCAGTTAACTACCTCGGTACTCTCAGTGTGTATATGTAGTACTATATCATTAAATGTGTTGACTATTAAAACATACATAAAGTCTTTATTACCAAACAACCCTCTACGTCCATATCAAAACTCATCCATATCATATCACGTACACACACACACACACACACACACACACAGCCTATACGTCTATTGCATTTCTTTTTACCGTTATGTATTTGTCTGTATAAATATAAATGTTTTATACACCTCGACTTTAGCATTATAGTTTATTTTTAAAATATAGTGAGTTATAATCTATTTTACATCATAATATCAAATATATGGGTTCTCATAATTCAAGCATGTCCCCACAAATCTATACAAAAAATAATAATTATTATTATTATTATTTTTTCTGATTTCGTCCATTTAGAAAAACCAATATATATTAGAAATATATAAAGTGGGGTATATAACTTTAATGTGCGATGAACATATACTGTATATATATATTAGTTATCATTAGGTTTGCTAATGTATGATTCATAAGCCAAAGTTAGAAAATCATGCGGGTTAACAAATTTGGAAGATTTCTATGAATTTCAGAGAATAGCTAGTTGTTGTAATATATGTGATATATAAAATTCAATTTTACATTTATATTATTTAATATATGTATATATAAATTAATTAAATAACTAATTTAATTCCAATTTATAATTTCTTGTAAGGTTATTAAAATAATACATATGTTGCTAAATTTTTCAACATAAATAGATATCTACGTAGAACTATATTTTTTTATTCTAAAAGTAATAAAATATTATGCTAGCTAAACTATTACTTAATTCAATAATCAATTAGTTAAATTATAGTATCATATAGCTTGTATAGAGCATGTGTGTGTGTGTGTATATATATAAACATATATCGTGTATATAAATATGTTTATCCTCAAAACCAAGGTTGATTATTAGAAGATTATGACAGTAAAAGGGGCACAGATATATATATATATATATATGTAATGTAGTATGTTTGTATAATATAATATTGAAAAAGCTGAAAGCTAAGTGTAGGCCGTGTTGTCTCTGTTGAAAAGCTTGCAATGAAATTTGGCTGATTAGGTCCCTAAAGTCAACCTCACCACGTAACTTTGGTAAAACACCACTAAACTAAACCTAACTCACACATAAACAAGTAATCAACAAATTAATTAATTAATATTTAAAATAATTAATTACTTCAAATTCAACAAATTACCTACTTATTAACTTTCCAGTCTTTCTCTAGAAGAAAATCAAAGAGACGAGTAAAAGAAAGTGGCTTTACTTTTTGCCTAACCCCCTCATTAAATTAAATGATTAGGTTGAGATTGGATCGTATAAAAATAATAATAATTTTAATATTTCCCGGGGGAGAGAGATGGGAGTTGACATTTGACAAGCGTCCAGTTCATCAACTGTGATTCCCCATGCATGACGGCAGTAACGTCAGCACATTACTTTGATTAACTAACGGCGTTAAGATGGAAATTATGGAAAGGAGTGAGGGACCCACGCGAGTTGCGGGAATTATTGACTGTTGATTGAACTCATCGCTGTCACGTACACCCTCTCTCTCTCTCTCTCTCTCTCTCTCTCTGTGTGCGGGTGATGGTAGCGTTAGCTCTGCTCTTTTTGGGAAGGTACAAAAACAACAAAAAAAAAGAAACAAAAAAACAACCGTGATGGTGATTTTACTGTTGCTGAATTTAATTTACTGTGACTGGTTAATTTTGGAGTGTGGTTCTTTTCCAGATTTGTAAATCAATTCATTAAAATGAAAAATATTGAATTTTACTATTTTGTACTCAATTATTGAAGTTTAAAAATGAAAAAATTAATTAAATTTTACATTAATAATGACCCAAAAGTTTAGGAAATTTGCCCTTTTTCTTTGGTTGGATTGGACTTGGGAAGAACGAACGAGAACATAAAAACCTAAAGAGGGACCCTGTACACGGTGGTCTCCGAACGACTGACACCCCTAGCATGGCCCCTGAGACTCCAGAGATCTTTTTTCTTTCTTTTTTTTTTATAAAAATTTAATCGACAATATCAATTGCATTTATTTTCTTTCATTTTTCTACAGTGATCCGGTATTTAATTTTCCAAGATATGCAAAGCTGTAATTTGACATGTTTTTTTTTTTTTTTTTTTTTTTTTTTTTACTTTTAACTTTTTTACTTTTTAAACTTCCCCGATAAATTTACTATTACCTTAGCCTGCCATCCTAGGTTCCCTCCTACTTTGGTAAATAAATTTTGCAGCGCATGCAAAGTTTTGATTTTCTATAAGACAAAAGACAATATCCATCCCACTTACAATTTTTACAGAAATTCTCGTACTGTTTTCGTGATTCTAGATCATCATGACCCAATTATCAACTAAATTGTCAAACTGATCGACGGCTGAGATTGCTCGGACCAGCTCATTCTGAAGTACGCTCTTAGCGGGCGATCATTACCCACTTACGATTTCCATTTGCGGATCATGCACGAGCTGTGCCCCTGATCGTACTCGCATGAGAGGGCGGTACGTGATAGTGAAGGAGTTATAAGTTACTCAGTCAGTATAGTCACGTGAAGGAAGTGAACTACACGCGGAGATCCAGAGCGTGGAGAATTTTGCCCACAAATTGCATGGAGCATATAGAAGGTATGTATGGTAATATTCAAGTTTAACAGGTCGGTGGCCATAACGGAGATAACACAGAGAGCAACGGGGGGACCCCTTCCCGTTGACCGGTTGTCTACTCATAAACCCACACGTGGCGGTTACCTTGGTCAAATCCTTACCAACCATTTCCGACGAATATATTGTGATAAACCCACACGTGGCGGTTACCTTGGTAAAGTCCTCATTAACCATTCCCGACGAATATATGTGTATATATTTATACATTGGGACCAAGAAAAGGGGGATCCCTGTGTAACATATAGCACACGGAGATAGAGAAGCAAAGTAGATCTCGAGCTTTTTAGTTTTGTGAATTTTCTTTGCGGAAATCAAAAGAAAAATGGAAATTTGAGAAGAAAAAGGAAGTAGAAATCAGAAAGGAGCTTTCCCTTACAGTTTTCTTTTTTTTTTTTTCTCTGCGGATTGGTTGCATATGTACATATATAATCTTTATAATCTCTATCTTCAGTGTCTACTTTGTCTCTTTGCTTTACAGCATTTGATCCCATGCTTGTATCTTTGTAACCGATCATACCCTTTTGTCCTCTGTGCCAGCCATATGATCAGATCGACATTAAACAAGGATTCTTTTTCTCTTTATCCTGTTGTTGATTAATGTGGACAAGAGAAAGAAAGCCGTAAAGAGGTATATTAGAGGTGAAAAGGATAGGGGAAAAAGGAAGACAGAAGGTTCATGCTTGTTCTAGGATTCTGGGTTTTTTGAGAAATGGGTACTGGTTGGAGAAGGGCATTTTGCACGACGATTCCTCGAGAACGAGAAACAACGATGGGGGAAAAGCAACAACGCAGTCCTTGTACGAGTCCAAGCCCAAGGAGCTGTGCGAAGCTTGGTTTTCTCTCCGGTGGAAGCAATCCTTCCACTCCACGATTGCAGTGTCAACCGGCGTCGAGCCCGAGCCTACGCTGCCGTACTGCTAGTTCCGGCGAAGCACTGGCCACAAATGACCTCCCCAGAAACCAATGCAAAACCACCCCCAAGGCATCCAAGAGCCCCAGACCAGTACTGGGTTCAAACCCGTCCTCACCTCGATCCCCTCTCAAGCTCTCTCTTTTTAAGAACAGCTTCAAGTTCAGGGTAAGAACCATTATGGGTTTTCTCTTTAGTTGACTGGGTTAAAATTATTTGGTAAGTGATTTTCATTTCTTCTTTTTGGGTTACTGTAGAGTAGCTGCGGGATATGCTTGAATAGCGTGAAGACAGGTCAGGGCACGGCCATTTACACAGCTGAATGCTCGCATGCCTTTCACTTTCCGTGCATAGCAGATCATGTCCGGAAGCATGGCACCCTGGTCTGTCCCGTCTGTAATACTACCTGGAAAGACGTCCCTCTCCTTGCCGCCCACAAAAATCTTGCCACCCAAGATTCCCAACCCTGTCAAGACGACTCTGGTTTAGTCCACAACAATCCAATTAATTCAAAAGTTGAAGACAAGAGAGTTATTGAATCTTCGCCTAGAGCAGCCAACAGGCGAGATTCTAAACAGCCACCTATGCCTAGCCCATCCGATTTGAGAATCTACGACGATGACGAGCCGTTGCTATCACCGACTGCTGGTGCTCGCTTTGTCCCCATTCCTGAAGCGGACGAGAATGGCGACGAGGAGGATGAAAACGACGACGTAGAGGAGTTCCAAGGATTCTTTGTCACTCCTAATAATTCGTCATCTACCAAATCTGATGAGCTCCCCCTCAATGGTCGATGTTCACGAAACGTTCAGGTCAGACTCATGCCGGAATCCGCTGTTATATCGGTTGGCCGTGGCTACGAAACTTATGCTGTCGCATTGAGGGTGAAGGCGCCGCCACCGCCGCCACCAACAACGGGAAGAGGCAGCAATACGACGCCGGTTTTTGACCCTTCACTTCGGGCGCCAATTGATTTGGTGACTGTACTCGACGTGAGTGGGAGTATGACCGGAGCCAAGCTTCAGATGCTGAAACGTGCCATGCGGTTGGTTATTTCGGCGCTCGGCTCGTCTGATCGGCTCTCCATTGTGGCTTTCTCGGCTACGGCTAAGAGATTGTTGCCTCTCAGGAGAATGACAGCTCAGGGCCAGCGCGCGGCTAAGCGCATTGTCGACCGGCTCGTTTGCGGTCAAGGGACCAGCGTTGGTGATGCTTTGAAGAAGGCCGCTAAGGTGCTCGAAGATCGGAGGGAGAGAAATCCCGTCGCCAGTATAATGCTTTTATCTGACGGTCAGGATGAAAGGGTCCAGGCTAATGCGGGTAATCAACGGCACAGTTCAAGCCACGCGTCCTCCACTCGATTTGCTCACATAGAGATCCCAGTACATTCTTTCGGTTTTGGAAGAAGCGGGGGCTACAGCCACGAGCCGGCTGAGGACGCGTTTGCCAAATGCGTAGGTGGATTACTGAGCGTAGTCGTACAAGATTTGAGAATTCAGCTCAGCTTTTCGTCGGCTTCCTCTCAAGCCCAGATATCAGCCGTCTATTCATGCAACGGACGGCCAACGGCGTTCAACTCGGGATCCGTTCGTCTCGGCGATCTATACGCCGAGGAAGAGAGGGAGCTGCTGGTTGAGCTACGGGTCCCAGAATTAGCGGTTGGGTCCCACCACGTGATGTCCGTTCGATGCCTCTACAAGGACCCCGCTACACAGGAGGTGATATATGGCAGAGATCAGCCTTTGTTGGTTCCCCGGCCCCACACCGTACGATCATCATTGCCCAAGATCGAACGGCTCAGGAATCTTTTCTTCACGACTCGAGCAATAGCTGAGTCGCGGAGATTGTCAGAACACGGCGATTTCACCAGCGCGCACCACTTAATGGCGTCGGCTCGAGCCTTGCTAGTGCAATCGGGGTCAGCCGCAGCTGAGGAGTACGTGAGGGCGCTGGAGGCCGAGTTGGCGGAACTTCACTGGAAGAGGCAACAACTGATAGAGCAGCATCAGCGAATGGTGGTGATGCAACGGAGGAGAGGGAGCGAGAGGGAGAAGGAGGTGATGGTGTTGATGGACGAGAATGGTGAGCCGCTTACGCCGACATCGGCTTGGAGAGCGGCGGAGAAGCTGGCTAAGGTAGCCATGATGAAGAAGTCGTTGAACAAAGTCAGCGATCTGCACGGCTTCGAAAATGCAAGATTTTGATTGGATATTATTATTCAACCTAGGAAAGAAAAATAGAGATGGGGCTTAAAAGTGAATGAAAAAAATATGGGGACAAGCTGGGGAGCAGACGGCGCGGGCCTTTTTGCGGAAAATGACGAAAGAAATGGCCCACAGAAGAATTGATTGAGTTATGGTGCCTTTTTTTTTTTTTGTTTTTGTTTTTGTTTTCGTCTGATTATGATTCGGAAGCTCAATATATTTTAGAGATTATATTTGCAGGGATTTTTGATTTGGTGAGATAGAGAAATGAAGGTGTAAATTTAATGAAAGTGGGTTTTTTTTTTTTTTAATTATTTGTGGGTTAAATAACGTTAAGAAATTTAAAGTAAGAAAAGAATTGGTGAAATTATAAAAATGGGAGAAATTAAAGTGAAAGGAAAAGGACAAAAATTGGGGGGTAGGTGTGTGGTAGGAGGATAATTAGAAATGATGATGAGGTTTTTGATTACTTCCCTCTCCTTGTACGCACTACTTTTTCTTTTTTTTAAAAAAAAAAAAAATAACCTAATAACTAATGTTACAAAAATATTTACTCTCCTGTTTCTGTAAGAATCAAACTTTTCAATAGAAATAGACAAATAACACTTAAACCTACAAAAATTGAACATTCAACAAAAAA